TTTAAATTGTATGGTATGTGAATTATATATCATTAAAGCTGTTAAAATGTTTTAAATAAGCCAATTAAGTACTCAATACAGTAAGTAAAAAAAGAAAATCAAAATAAGCCTAAGGAAAAAGTGAAAGATGAAAACTACATTATTGAATTTTTAAAAAGGAAAAGTGGGCTGAGGATGTACTTCAGTGGTACAATACTTGCCTAGCGTGTGCAAGGGTGTGGGTTCAATTCCCAGCATTGCAAATAAAGTAAAGCAATTAAACTTAAATCCCAGAGCTGTTTCCCTGGGTGAAAATAAATGAAATAAACTCCCAACCAGTTAAATAAACAGAAAAAATGTAATTAACACAAAGTTAGGAATGAGTACATAACATATAAATTGAAAAATAAAGAATACTACGTGGCACTGTATTATAATTAACAAGAAATTCTTGCTGAATGATTTCTAGAAAATCATAAATTACTAAAATTAACTCAATAAAAGTAGAAGAGTTTATGTAGGTAAGACTACAACCCTGAAAGGAATCCAGAGACACAGTTTCACGGATGATATTTTTCATATATGAAAGAAAAATTCCTATATACTTTTACTGTTCCAGGGCATTGAAAAACAATTCTAATATTTTTATGAAAATTGCATAATATTGACAAGGTGAATGATTCCAGCCTGTGTTCTCTCTCTCCTGAAGAGTGGAGAAATGGTGAACACTGGGTTGGGGGCCGACAGGAAACGAAGACTTCCAAGCACTGTTCCTGACTCAATCAAAAGTAACTGCTGCACAGTGTGGTGCAGCATGCTTGTAATCCTGGCATTTGGGAGGCTGAGACAGCAACATCACTGTGAGTTCAAGGACAGCCTGGACTACACAGTGAGTTCAAGGCCACTTACATAGTGAGACTTCATCTCAAAACACAAAACAAAACAAAAGTTGGCGTTATGGTTTGTATCTAGATTAGATGTTCCCTAAAGCTCATGGGCTCATAGGTGAGGCTTGTGGGAGAAATTGGATCATGAGGGCACGTTACTCATCAGTGGACTAGTCCACTGCTGAGTTTACAGCTAAATGTGATGTTGGCAGGTGAATGAAGCCTGAATGGAGGAGGTGGGTCACTGGGAGAGTGACCTAGAAGGGTCTCTCCCTCCCTCTCTCCCTTTGATCTCTCTGCTTCCCATTGCCATGCCATGAGCTGTCTTTTCTCTGCCATGCTGCCCTGCCTTGGAGCCAGCTGATATTATGGAATGAAACCTCTACATATTATGAGCCAAAATAAACCTTTCCTTCTTAGAGTTACAGGTGTCGAGTATTGAATCTTAGCTACAAGAAGGTAACTAAGCTGGAGAGCAAGAATTTCTAGTGACACAACCCACAGAACTAAATTACCTTCCTCAGTATGGCTCAAAGGTATAGATTAAGGAATTACAAGAGGAGGTGTTTGAAATGACCACTGTGAAATGGTCTACAGGACCAGCATGAAAACAAACAGCAAAGGCTCTAAATCACTCACTCCCCTAAACTATTAAAAAGACTAAAGTGTTAAACCGGTCACATTTTGGCGTTTAAACAGTTCCATGGCTTAGCACAACCCCAGTAACAGTGCTATATGTTTAATAGCCAACACTTAACAGTCTTATAGTAACCACTAGAACATCCTCGTTCCCTAGTGAGATATACTGGAGAATAAATTGAATATTAGAATTCTGTCATTTAACTTGAGAGTTATGAACGAAATTGATCATTCTATCATTTTATTTTATCCTTTAAATACTTTACACTGCATTAAATCCTACACAACAAGTCAGATGTGGTGGCACACACCTATAATCCTAACACTTTGGAGCCTGAGACAGGAGGATTGCCAGCCTGGGCTACATACTCAGTTCAAGGCCAGCCTAAAGATTCTGCCTCAAAAAAAAGTCAGATTAGCAAGATTCTGTCTGAAAGAATTAAAGAGAAATTCTTGCTGAATGACTTCTAGAAATAGCAAGATTCTGTCTCAAAAAAAAAGTCCTAATAAACACACTTTTAGAAAATTTCAGGGCTGGGGTGTAGCTCAGTGGTAGAACATTTGCCTAGCATACATAAGGGCCTGAATGTCATTCCCAGCACTAAAGTAAAAAGTAAAAAATATACCTCACAAATTTATAGTAAGAATAACTAAACATTTTCTCCTTTAAACACTTTTCAGCTTAGACCAGTAAATTTTGGTATTATCAGTGAGCTAAAGGAAAAATTTGCTTAACATTTATTATGTCTGCTTAACACTACCTTTAATACAAAAGACCATCTACATCTTCTTGTATTTTTTAAGATAAATAAGAAAATAATTGATTTCTCTAAAACAAACAAAAGAAAACTTCCAAGGTGAAGAAAACATTCCAGGCTCTAACTAGTAAAATTTTTCTATTACATACAGGTCGCTGTTAAGACAATTTTCTCACAATGGGTATAATAAGTTAAAGTGGGCAATCCAGGCATTCTGAAATGGAAAAAAAAAGTTAAAAGTGGCTAATTTAGGAATTCCTCCTCTAGGGCCTGAGAATATGAATTTAAATAGTCATAGTCATTCAAATAAGAAGTCATAAAACAAACTAAGTTAGGAGACCTTGTGTAAAAAGTGTGGGTTTAGCTAGGCATGGTAGCACATGCCTGTGATTCCAGTACTCAGGAGGCTGACACAGGAGGATCACCATGATTTCAGGGCTACACCGTGAGTTCAAGGACTGCCAGAAAAAATAGCAAGACCCTATCTCAAAAAAAAGAAAAAAAAGGTGTGGCTTTAACTATGGTCTATAGGTACACAACGTACACCTTATAATCTCCAGCCCAGATCTCTTCTCTACTCTCAAACCCAAACGCATAATCTTAACATTCACCCAGCCAATTCCATCAACTCCCCATGGCCACTACCTCCACCATAAACTCACTATTAGCAGAACTCACTCTATCTTGCTACTGGCAAAAGCAGTCATCTTATCTCCTAACACCTGGACATTTTACCTTCCATATCCAATCCGTTTTTTTTTGTTTTGTTTTTGTTTTGTTTTTTGGTTTTTTTTCCTGGTACCGGGAATCAAACTCACGACCCTGCGCTTGCCAGGCAGGCGCTGTGCTGCTGAGCTAAATCCCCAGCCCCTATTTTTTTCCGGGGGGGGGGGGAGGGGGCGGGGACCGGGAATCCAGCTCAGGAACTTGTGCTTGCCAGGCAGGTGCTTATGCCACTGAGCTATATCCCCAGCCCCTCCAATCCATTATTAAGTGTAATCTTACCTAGTAAATAGCTCTTGCATCAGTCCACTTTTTCTTATATCCATCAATATTTCCCTATACCAAATACTATCATCTTTTGCCTGGCGAATGGCCACCTAGTGTCCCTTACACTATTAATGCTACTCCCCATTGCACACTACCACAGCTTACCACTCTGCTACAGTGATCATTCTGAAACACACATCTGACCACACACTTCTACTTGTTTAAAACATTTTCACTGACTTCCCAAAACTCCAACAATAGAGCCCCTAGTCGTCGTCCCCCCGCCCCCGGGCCCCGCCCGAGTCCCTCCCATAGTACACAACGCCTTGCAATCTGTACTTACACTATTTGGCCTTTGGTTCACTAAAAATGCCACACTATCAACAGTATTTTTCATTTTCTTCCCTCAACTAGAAGGCTCTTTCCCACCCTTTGGCCTAGTAATCTTAACCTATCTTCAGCTATCGGCCCTGGAATTTTCAAGGAAGCTCCGTACCTGCACTAACAAAACCAGGTTATCTTCATGCAAGACCAGGTTACCTTCATGCTTTCTTGGCATTTTAGCACACAGAAGTTCTACTTTTATTTATATGACCATCTGAATTTTACCTGCCTCCTTTTCTAGTCTGCGAACACTAGGAAGGCAGAAACCAAAAATGTTTGGGTTCACCCAAATACCCAGGCACCTGGGCCAATGTGTGGCACATGGTGACGGCTTAATAACACATCTTCAATGAATTAAGTACCATCTGGAACATTTATCACACAAAACAGCTACTACTCTTTTGCCATTACCAGTCTATGACCAGACTATTCATCTGCTCTATCCAATATGATAGCCACTAGCCAAGCACAGACACTGAGCACCTGCAAAGTGTTTAAAACAATACCAGAGGCGCTAATTTCTTCCTTTCCGTTCCTTTTTCCTGCCCTTCTTTTTCCTTTAGCCTCCCTTCATTTTTTCCTTCCTTTTTTCTTTTCCCTTTTTCCCTACTTTCCAGTATTGGAAATGGAACCCTGGGTTTTACAAAAGCTAAGCAAATACTCTACCACTGAGTTACACCCCTAATCCCTCTAATGTTATATAGGCTCTTTCTGTATTTACTTTGTGCTTTCTAGTTTTCCAGACTGTTTGTAGCTGCATCACAACTTCTTGAATTCTAGGGGCTGGGGATTTAGCTCAGCGGCAAAAGCGCCTGCCTGGCAAGCGCAAGGTCGTGAGTTCGGTTCCCGGTACCGGAGAAAAAAACCAAAAACCAAAAAAAAAAAAAAAAAAAAAAAACAACTTCTTGAATTCTGAGTCCCTCCCACGGGTTGGGGGTACTCCCTTACTGACACAAAGGAGGGTCCAAAGAAGCTCAGCTGGCAGGGAGCCTCAAAACTAACAGATCTGGAGTGTAGATAATCCACACTATTTCCTCAAGGGAAGTCCTGCACTTCACTTAAACTAATTGCTTATTATCTCCCCAACAGACTTCCCTGGGCAACCACGCTCTCCAATCCTACCTACCTTCCCCAAAAAAGCGTTTCTTAACTAGACGCCCTGGGAATCAGAGCTCCACCTGAACATCTGTTGCAGTTCAAAAGGCCCGGGGCCCAGCCAGGGGGAGGAAACGCGAGATGTCTCCGCCAGAAAGAACCAGGGCCGCGGCCGCCTCGGAGGCGCGCTATACCTGACAGGCGCCGTGCGGGGCGCTGCGCCCGCCGCCCCGGCCCGCGCCGGCCTCGGCTCTCCCGCCCCGCTCACCTTCTCCGCGCCGGTCCGCTCGCTCCGCGCGCAGCTGTACCTCGGGGGCGGGGGCGGAGGAGACAGAACTCCCGGGCGCGCCTGCAGCCAAGCCTTGGCCTCCTCGTCCTCCTCCTCCGAATTCGGCCGGGGTTGGACCTCGTAGTTAGAGTCCGAGTCCACCTCCCGCCCCGCCTCTTCCACCGCCTCCTCCGTCACGATCTCGACCCAGGCCGCGGGCTCCTCCTCCGCCGCCGCCGCCTCTGCTGTCCTCTCCTCTTTTTTCTTCTCCTTCTCCATCACCTCCTCCTCCTCCTCCGTCGCCTCCCCCTCCTCCTCCTCCTCCTCCTCTTCCTCCTCCTCCTCCAGCTCACCCGGCCAAGGCAGATCCTCAAGCTCCATGTTGGCGGCTGGCTCCCGGCGGCTGAGGAGGAGGAGGAAGGGGGCACGGAGGGGCGGGGAAGCGAGCTGACTGGCGGTTGTGGCCGCGCGCAGGCGCAGATGCCTCCGCTGCCTCTCGCGGGGCGGGGCTGGGTGAACTCGCGCCCGTTGCTAAGGACGCCCCGCGGGGCAGGCGGGAAGTCCATACTTGGGAGGATCAGCAGAGGCGACACCGCCACCTTGCTCCCGTCACTAGCTGTGACCTTGCTCACAGTACTGTAAGCTCACAATAAACCCGGACTGGGCTCCTCTTGGGACACAGGGGGCTCCCGCACAGGGAGAATTTACCCCCTATTTTTGCTCCTTTGCCAAGGAGAGGTCAAACCCTAGTATAAACCCATGATAACCACACTGGTAAATGGTAGATTTTTAAAAGGTTTTAGAGTTTAGCGCCTATACGACAGGCAGTACATATAGAGGGGCATAAACCTTATCGTAGAAAAGACAGTTGGGGAGAGGGAAGATTAGGTTAAGAATTGAGCTGTGGCATCAAAGATCGTCTGAATCTCGGTGTCCCCACTCACGTGTGTCAGTGTCTGTAAAATGAGGGAAATACGTCTCAGGATGGTTGTGCTAATTACAGAAACTAAAGGAATTAACCAATATGGAAGTCTTAGTGATAGGTATTACTCGTTGGTTATTGCACAATAACTCATTAAATGCTCACATTTCTGTGAGGCAGGTATTACTACCGAATCAGCATTACACTCAGCAATAGTGAAAATCTGAAAATCACAGACTAATGACTTGCCCCTGACCCAAAAGTGAAAAGAGAGGGTGAGGAAATAAACCTGTCGCATCTGAGGACTGGCCTGAGACTACTAACTAAACCTCAGAGTTCTTAGGAACTGGCCTGGCATTCACAGCTGCACTATGATACATCTTTTATTGAACATAAACAATCTCATAGTATGCTGCCTTCGTCTGTTTTATGTTGTTAATAACAATATCACATCGCTTCTCGGCCTTTTGGCTAAGATCAAGTGTAGTATCTGTTCTTATCAGTTTAACAATATCACAAGGCTGAGAATGTTAAAGAGCATAGGTTTCTTTTGGCTTACATTTCTGGAGCCCCAAAGCCGAGGGACCACATCTGGTGATGGTGTTCTTGCTGGTAGAGTCCTGATACATGGCTAGAAACAGGTGCACATGTATGTGTCTTCCAGTCTTTTTTCCGCTTTTGAAGCCACCAGTGTTCAATCATGGGACTGATGACCTTATCTAATCCTAATCACCTCCCAAAGGCCTACTTCTAAACAAAACAGATTAAGTTTCTACCCTCTTAATACCTCACAATGAAAATTAATCTCCAACCTGAATCTCAGAGGGCACAAATCATATTCAGACCACAGCAAACATCAACATCACACAGGGTTATTCTGTGACTGTGACGGAGCAAGACCACTTCATAATCTTACCTAAACACAGGCAAAAGCAGTATTGCTGTGCAAATCACAAATATATCAAACATCCTTCTCTTGTATGTCATTTGTGTCTGCTGCCTCTTTTATCAATTATTGTCTAGGCTGACCATATTCTTCCCTACTAGATAAGATTCATTGAGAGGCCTAGTCATAGAATCACCCTCACTTTGACAGTCAGTTCAGAGCAAATCTCTGCTTCTTTAAACTTTCTCCCAAAATGAATTCACACAAGCCCAAGGCCTGTAACGCTTAATAGCATTCTCTTATGCAAATACTTCACAATTCTCTGTGATGTGTGTTCTCCCTGTTGGAATGAATGACAAGGCCAACTTTGTGCTCCTGGTGATCTTTAGCTCTCTAGAGCAATGATACATTAAAGAAGGCAACTATATAAGTTCTGTGCCACTTTCAAACTTACTGCCAGTGGCATGCATTCCCAGTTACCAGAATTCTGGTTTCTGCTCAGAAAAAAAAAGATAATACCTCTTTTTTTTTTTGAGACAGGGTCTCATTATGCAGTTCAGGCTAGCCTTGAGCTCACTTCAGCCCAGGCTGGCCTCAAACTCCCAACAATCCTCCTGCCTCAGCCTCCCAAGTGCTGGAATTACAGGTATGCGCCACCACGCCTGGCATTTTTTTTTTTTTTTTTTTTTTTTGTCTTTGTGAGACAGGGTCTCGCTATGCAGTTCAGACTGGCCTTGAGCTCACTTTGTAGCCCAGGCTGGTCTTGGGCTCACAATGATCCTCTTGCCTCGGCCTCCCGAGTGCTGGGATTATACACGTGCACCACCATGCCCGGCCCATGATACCTCCTAATCAAAGGTTTTATTGAGTGCTTCCTAGATTGCAGGCACTGTGCTAAGACAGGGAGTAGGAATGCTGCCTCCTAAAAACCAGTGTCTCTATGGCCCAGAAAGTGCATCCACTAGTACTTCCCGGTAGCAGCATTAGATGGAGCTGCCCAGTGAGACAGGACATGAGCTGATGGTTTTCATTCCCAGAGCACAGAGCACCGTGGCCACTATGCTTTGTCATTCAGACTCTTCCTATTGCCTGTGTTCTCCTTTGTGTCTGTTCCTATCCCTGAGGGAAGTTCAGCTTTTGCCCAAATTGGGATTCAGAAATTCTGTGTCCGCTATGCAATATGCCTTTAGTGTGAGAACAGAGAGCTTCGGTCACCCTAAGAGAATAATGATTCTGAGTACTGTGTGCCGTATTATTCTTTAGCTCCATTTTCCAGCATAGCCACCTTAGAGATCTTTATTTTTATTTATTTTATTTTTTGGAACCAGGAATCAAACTTAGAACCTGGTACTTGCCAAACAGGTACCATATCCCCAGCCCCACCTTAGAGATCTGATAGGGAAAGATATTGTAGAGAGTTTTGGAGACATCAGAAATAGCTCTCCCAACACATGCACTTTTTTAATTAATTAATTTTATTGATAGTGTATATTTTAGATATACATAGTGATCACATTCATCATAGGGAATTTGTACCTGTATATGACATATCTTAATTCTTCTTTTTTCCCCATTCCCCTCCCCTCCATTTAACCCTTCTTTCCCTCCTTATTGACAAAAACTTTCTTTCCATTTCTTTCTTTTTTCTTTTCCCTTTTTTCTTCCCCTCTTCCCTAGCTCCCCTTCCCATTTGAACATTTTCTTCCCATTTCCTAATGTCTTGTATACATTTTGATCCTTCTTTACATTTTCAGTTTCTCATACCAGACAAATCATGCAATACTTACACATGTGTGTTTGTTTGATTGATTTCACTTATCAGTATAGTCTCCAGGTATATCCATTTACCTAGAAATGTCTCAAGTTTATCTTTCTTTATGGCTGGGTAGTACTCTGTTGTATTAAAAAATGCATCTTTGGGGCTGGGGATATAGCTCAGCACCACAAGTACCTGCCTGGCAAGTACAAGGTCCTGAGTTCAATTCCCAGCACCAAAATTAAATCAGTAAATAAAAATGCATCTTTATCTATTCATCAGCTGATGGGCATTTGCGGTATTCCCAAGATTTAGCTATTACTAACTGTGCCACTATAAACATGGGTATGCATACATAGTTGTGGCATGATGCTTTCAGGAGGATACCAAGAAAGGGAATAGCTGGGTCGAATGGAACCTCTACTTCTAGATTTTTAAGGAATCTCCACACTGATTTCCACAGTGGCTGCACCAGTCTACACTCCCACCAACAGTGGAGAAGGGTTCCTTTCTTCCCACATCCCCACCACCATTTGTTGTTGGTTAATTGCTTAATAATAGCCATGCTTTCTAGAGTGAGATGGAATCTCAGCATTGCTTTAATTTGTATCTCTTGAACGGCCAGTGATATTGAACATTTTTTTGGTGTATTTATTTGTTATTTGTATTTTTTCAACTGAGAAGTGTCTATTCATTTCAGATGCCCATTTTTGGATTTGGTCTTTAAATGTGGAGGGGTCTGATTTTTTTTTTAGTTCTTTATATATTCTAGATATTAGTCCTTTGTCTGACAAACAGCTGGCAAAAAATTTTCCTACTCTGAGAGTTGACTCTTCACTCTTTTGATAATTTCTTTTGCTGTATAAAAGCTTTTTAAAAAGTTGTGCAAAAGCTTTTTAATAAGATGGGTTGTTGATTCTTTGTAATATTTATTGACACATAACTTTCATCACTCATAACACACTGTAATGATTCTAGATGTGGCTCAAAATGCTGTGCAAATCAGATAGATAGATAAAGTTTATCTTGTATACTGCCTAAGATTATAGCAAAGTGTCCTAATTAAATTTTTTTTTTTTTTTTTTT